ATTACACAAATAGTCAATACCAAGAGGAAGTAATATTAGTACAATAACTCAGTGGTTGAACTATTAAAATAACTATAATTTAATAATAAATTATATTCATGTCAAACCACTTTTAGATAAAAATATGAATTCTTCAGTAGGAGGTACCATACTGGACAATAGGTATTTAAAACAAAAAATACAAACCACATTTTTATTCATCTACAGATTCGAGTTATCGTCAATCTACTATATTATGATTGTACTATGATAATATATTTAATTTATTCACAACATTTATCAAATTATGCATTGTTGGTCTTTTTCAAAAACTTTTTATATTTTGGTGTAGGAGCAAAGGATAACACAGTATAAAAAAAACAAAATTAATTACTGATACAAAGCAATATATTGATGATACAGCTTAGGTTTTGAAAATATTTTAAAAATTTGAAATCAAAATAAAAACCAAAAAAAGGAACACAAAAACAAAATAAATATGTATAATAATATAAAATTTTTAAATTAAACAATATTTTTTCAAGCTTAAAATTAATATGATGAATTTGTGTTACAAATGTTATGAATATTGACAATAAAGCAATAATTATAAATTAAGTCAATTAAAGTATGGAGATTTAATAATTACTGTGAAATCAATATGCAAAGGGAAAAAAAATACAAAACAAACTTGGCTAATTGTGTTATTGCGATAGATACACACCAGGCGTTTGTGGCAGGCATCGACATAAAAAAATTATTGTATACACCTATAAATGTTCACAACATAGAAAGTTTAAGCTACCTAGTTCATTTATCAATAGATTTGCAGTACAATTTAACACAATCGTAATACACTCTTTATATATTAAATAAATATATTATAATTACAAAATTCTCTAAGCCTCGCAAAACAATTATTACAAATGTTTACGGTTTTAATTTTTGTGCAAAATAACGAAAATAATAAAAATGTTATGTGGCGTTTATACGAGTGTATATAAATATATAAATGTATATTCCGATTGTAATTATTTGTAGACCTCATTATCAAACCTGATAATGAAATAAACGTTATAAATAACATTTTGATATATCTATAATTAATATGATTTTACATAACACTACCGAGAATATATATTTATATATTTTGTAAATAAAAATAGTAATTAAAAATCTTTGTAACAAATAAATAGGTATAAAAAGTATAATTAATTCCTCACGATTATAATTTGTTAATTAGGGCAGTTTTTACAATTTGGCTGTTATTTAAAAATAATAGCAAATAAATGTCTACAAACATAAAAAATGGCAATTAATGCCAATGGTCATAAAATTACAATCTAAGTGATGTACATTACAATAAAATAAATAGATGGTCTGAATGTTCATATAAATATATATATTTAGTATTCCCTTTTTAGAGTATGATTTGGATACAAACAGACAAGGATGAATGGCAACAGACAATTTGATAAGATAAACCTAAATTTAAGTGCATAATATTGTCTAATCTACTCGCACCAACATTTTTCTTAGTTTATCTTATGCATAATGTAAGTTTCATAATCACATAAACGGTTAAAGTAGTTTTAATATATATATATATATATATATATTTTATCACAAACAAATAATTATTTATATATACGAGTTTCAAATACCGTATTAGCAGCCATATTACAAAAATAAATTTAAATGCACAGTTAATTTTTTCAAAAACCATTCTAGTAAAAAAAAAACCATACATTTTAGAATTTTATAAGCTGAAGAGAATGACAAATATTTTCAATGTTGTGGTTAGAAATGTACAAAAAGTACACGATGCAATAATTACGATAATATGCTTTTAGGAAAAATGTATAATTATATAGCATTCAAATACATACTCACTTATGAAAAGAACTGATTTTTATTTTGTCAAATTTGACATCTATTGATCTTAATTAGACCCGTAGTTTAATATTTAGTTTTAAAATTAACTGATTAAAATTGAATTACAATTTTATGTAATACATTAGCTAATAACTCTCAGTAATCTGTTCCCACAGTCATTCATAAATTGGACATAAATTAATACTGAAGAACTATTATACTTACAAGAAAAAAAAAATAATTTAAGATGTTCAAATAAAATATATGTCACCAGGACATACTGTATAGATAAGTTGTTTGAAATTAAAATTGAATACATATAATTGTGTATTGGTAAATTGTATTTCCTGATTATTTTCTCAAGTATTACTCTCAAGCTTATCTATATAATTTTTATAAATATAGAAATAAATGTAAAAAAGTTTCAAATTTGGTAACAATAATTTCACAAGCAAAAAAAAAAAAAAATATAATTATCATAATAGATTAATTTGTTGAATAGGGCCAAATCTACTTATGATATTAAAAATAAATAGGATTACTCTTATTTACTAGCTACTAATTGCATAAGTCTAATGCACTTGATTAAATAAATATCTATTAACTTAACGAAAATGAATAGACACGGGTGTCAAAATTGTAATGATTTAGTCCGTCGAGTCCAAAATGATTAAAAGATGATTGAATGACTAAATGAGCTACAGACTATTTGTAGTGCTGGTTGACCAAAGCTGTGTTCGCCAAAGCGTTTGTCTGCATATTCTAAAATAGAAAATGTAGTTAAAATAAATAAATAAAATATTTTTAAAATGTTTAAATACTAAACTAATTTAAAACTTATATTGGGAGTATCTTAATAGTTAATAAATAACGCATTTCAAACTTCAGGACATTTCCATATGTACATGTATATAATATGACTTTTGTACACGCTATGGAACTATTACACACACACCCTATACACAACTGTAGTGACTATTATATTTATATATAATATATATAAATCTATACATAGTCCAAATGGGAATCCTTTATTAAACGGTTGTCTTCATTCTCAGTGAATGTATATTAATTTAATTGACATACATTGGCTATTTGAATTATATTTTAAGCAAAACACTGAAAAATCCGATAGCTTACACAATTACACTATCCCTTTAAAATCTGTCATTGATAATCAATAAAAAAATAAATCACAATCAAATATTATACAGAGTGATTCACCCCTACCCCTCCCCCCCCCATTTTTTCTTATTAATTAATTTATTCAAATTCTGGTTTTTGATTTTTTAAATATACTCGGACAATATTTTTCAATTCTTGATTTTTTTTTTACTACTTAATGAATGTCCTGTGGCAATACAAACTTCTGTTTTTCAAATGACAACCACACTTTTCAACCACACAAATTATTTAGTGGATATTTTTTTTGAAAATGTTGATGTACCAACCTAATTCAAAGTTTGAATGAGTAGTTTTGTAGTTATTAAATTATTTGTATTAAGGATGATGGTCCTTAAAAATGGTTTTACATAAATACAAAATAGACATACAACTAGGCCTAGTATTAATTATACTTGGGCTATTTTACAAATTACTAATATTGATAAATTAATATTAATGACTACAATTCTCAACTCACCATAGCTGCCATATTGTATAAGCTCATTATACCATACACCTTTTACCCTTAGAACATAAAACTGAAAAACTTCAAAACTACCAGTACGAATTTTGATTCTTATAAGTCAAAAATTTCAGAAAAGTTATCCACTGTATAATTTACAGTTAAAAAGGTGTGTTCTCATTTGAAAAACAGAAGTTTGTATTTCTACAGGACACTCCTTAAGTAGTACAAAAATTCTCGAGAATTTGAAAATAAGTTAATAAACTATAGTTAAAAATCAGATTTTCAATAACTGCAGTATTGAAGGAAAAAGGCGGCGAGCATGCTTGGTGAATTACAATGTATACCATCTAAGACCTATCTATAATATTATATAGATATTTTTTTACTGTATCAGAGTAACTCAGTAACCGAAAAGCTCCACCAACCGTGACTCGGTAGAAACATGAAGTAGGCCGGTCTATAAATTAGTAAAAGGTATATTATGGTTAATAGGTCTATGGGGTGTCAATTACCCAACAATTTAATTTAAGCACATTGTGCATTTTAGGTAAGGTTAGGTTTAACACATTGTGTTAAAAAAAAATCATTCTGTCATGACTGTTTAAAAAATTACATGTCAAGTTCTTTTCACATCAAAATGAATAAATAATCAAATTATTCACATTAGTATTTAAAAATAAATATTACACAAAATGATGTACCTAACAAGTACATAATTTTAATAATATATACTTAATTTACTGAATTCAGGTATGGAAGAAATAAATGTATTTGGAGGGCAGCAACACATTTTATTAAGAGCCAATAATCATATCATTGTTACAAATAAAAATAATTCGGATAAAATACAAAAAAAAAAAATAATTCACAAAATGTTGATTAAAAATTAAAAATAATATATATAAAAAAAAAACATAATAGTTTCAATAAAAATATTTAAATTTAAATCAAGTGAACATAGAAGTAACACAAAATTAATTCATAAACAATGAAGTCGGTAAGCTAAGAAAAAAAATAATTAAATAAAAAAAGAAAAAATATATCTTAATATTCATGTACACATACAAAATATATGTACACATATTTTCATGGAATATGATGAGATAATATAATAGTAATTGAATTGGTCTTTAGCTTTTATTGACATACACTAACAAATAGTGATTGATCAAGATTAAAAAGCAACTACGTTCAAATTTTGTTAAACAGACCAAAATGGTAAATTATTAAGAGCCTGGTAATGTTTGGACTTCTTATTTACATGGCGTAACAGTGACTTATTAATTAAAGTAATATTTTTTTTTATTTTTAAGAAATCCAGTTTATCAAAAAAAAGCAATTATAATTCGTTTAAAATAAGGGAATCCTATGCAAACACTAATATTTTTAATAGTGTATCTTAGCACTATGAACAGGTCGCAACATTTGATTTGTTTATGTTAAAAAAAAAGTAAAAATAAAAAATTCGAAGCATTTGTTATGAATCATACACAGTGGTTAAGATGTCTACCATTTATCACTCGACCAAAACCTTTGGTTTTTCCCAAGGAAATATATCACGACCAAAATGTCCATATGTGCTTGTCTTTTGGTAGATTGGGTTTCGTAGATTTAAATCCCTGAAAAATGAAAACATTATATTTAATCATTTAAAATATTATAAATGATTGAAGCTATAAAACATTTTTCTTGATTAGATATGCTGAAATAGGAAACTTATTGCAATTACAAAAATTACGTCATACAATTTATTTTTCTCAAACTCATTGGCATAAGAAATATAATCACACGTCTGCAGAAAAGCACTGTCTTACGAGTACTAAAATAGTGTTTTAGAGCACAAAGTGTGCAGTTTTTATATTTTGTAAAGTGTGTAACACTTGATATTTCGATAATGAGGAAAATGCAGGCATATTAACTATAAGGGCACAAAGTAATTATCATTAAACTCGTTTTATCAATTTAAATCTTAGATCATATACTATGGACCTATGTCCTGATAATCTGAAGCACATAGAAGCTACAAATCTCTGATAAAGATGCACATGTACAAAGAAAAATTTTGCATATTTATCAATGCAATTGTATAAATAAATATAAACCAACAGCTAAATATGCAATTGTTCACCTCGTGCATGGGCAGAGTACGACAGACTGTCAGACTTTTTGTTTATCTGTGCTTCAAATCTTTACACAGGCAATCTTTTTCGAATTAAATAAACAATTATTAACAATATTTGGAAAATATGTATGCATTATTTTGAATTATAATCCATTATAAATTGTATACATTGTAAAATTATGTATTCATACATAACATATATTTCATAAGCATTCTTTTATTATAATGTAAATAATTAAATTAAAGATAATCTGACAGTAACACAATACATATCAGTGAAAAACGATCATCAAGAAGACAAACATTGTGTTGGTAACGGTATAATTTTCGATTTGTGCATTTCAAGTGGAATCAAACTTTTACCGTCTTCCATATATATAGGTATAATATAGGATAGATGATGTACTGATAACAGATTGTCTTTAATTTAATTATTTAAACAATATAAAAACATGTTCATGAAATAAATATGTATGATTGTATGAATGCATAATTTTACAAGCTAAACATTTTATTATTATTTTTTTTTTTTGGTGGGACAAGGACTATAATAATATTCCAAATGTTAAATTATTCAGTGTGCAGTACACAATTTTGAAATTTTAGACACTGATTTGAGTTAATATTATATCAACAAATTATAATTTTATTTTCTACCACATATGCCTATTGTTTTATTACTTTGAATATTTTTAATTTACTAACCTTACTATTCTTCCTGGTCTTAAATCAAAATTACTGTTGACAATTCTCAACAATTCTTTTTGAGTTTTAGTAGATGTGCCATAGTGGAAAAGTGTAATTGATATTGGCTCTGCTACTCCAATAGCATAAGATACCTTATTACAATAAAAAATAATAACTCATTATCATTCACAATATATAACACCTTAGCAATACATACTTGTACAAGGCAACGTTTGCAAAGTCCAGATTTGACTAAAGACTTAGCAACCCAACGAGCAGCATATGCGGCGGATCTGTCAACTTTAGTGAAGTCTTTGCCAGAGAATGCACCACCTCCATGAGCTCCCCAACCACCATAAGTATCAACAATAATTTTTCGTCCTGTTAAGCCAGCATCGGACTAAAAAACAAATCATAAATAAGTTATTGGTTGTAGATCTATAAAACCATATTTTAAAATTTACTTGAGGACCACCCATTACGAATTGGCCGCATGGATTGATGTGGAAAACGGTTCTGTCATCAAGATACTGAGAAGGGATCACTGTCTTAACAACTTTAGACATAACTTCTTGCCGTAAGTCTTCTAGTGAAATCTTTTCAGAATGTTGCACAGATATTACAACTGTATGAACTCTTTGTGGAATGCAAGCACCGCCAACCAAACAGTATTCACATGTTACCTTTAGACATCAATTTTCAATATTAATTTATTTAGATAATTTTAAAAACACAAATTTAAAATAGAAAAAATATTTTACTTTAAATTCATTATAGCACCAAATTATTGTAGCAAGGCTCTACTCAAAAAGTAATAAGTCTTGGATAAAACAAGTTTAATAAATTATATAATCATCATAGCTTGATGACACCCCCTACACAGGACTACACTATGAACCAAATGCGGCCACAAAGTTTAACCAAATTCATACACATGCGATGTAACTGCAATCTGCCTGGTAGTAACACAAAGTTCAAGAAACACACAGTATAAAATTCTGATACGATGACTGAATAATGGAAAATAAAACATAATACAATGTAACAATAAAATTCCCATGCTAAATCTGTATTAGTTAATAAGTTAATAGATAGCGTTGAGTCTCATGTGCACTGGAGATATACACTTGTAAAGTCGTCCTCCTGCCCACCCCCAGCCAAAAGTGTCAAGTCCTGTGTAGTTAGGTTAGATTAGGTTAGTTCATGACCATAGTACAATTATATAATACTCGAAAGCTATGAAATAATACGAGTAATCAAGACTTTTAAAACTAAACTGATGGGTCAAACAAATATTGTTATATAATTCACCTGTGTTTTAGTATCAGGGCGTGCCCACCAAAGAACTCCATTTCTTCGGAGTTCGGAAACTTTTTCATTAAGCTTGTGAGCAAGTACCACTGTCAAAGGCATACATTCTTCTGTTTCATCTGTAGCATAGCCAAACATAAGGCCCTGCAATTCACGAACAATGTTATCAATTGACTTAGTAAATCATTTTAATGGAAAAGCTAATGAAAATTAGTAGCATTTTCAACAAAACTGTAGAAATCAACATGCGACACCAAATTAATGTTTTGTTATTAATTTATTATATAAACAATTCTACTTTGCTTAATTTGAAATACCTATTTCAAATTGCTCTCTCTAAAAGATGTTATAATTAAAATGTTTGTATTTAATTCATTTTAAAATGCAATTATATAATATTATGTTAAATAGCAATTATTGGGAATTAACAGTAAGTATATTATAATGTATTGTTATTGATACTTAACTACAGTATTATATACAACAACAAAACAAAATGTTCCCAAATAGATTAAATATAGTAGATTAAGCATTTCTCTACTTAATTCATGTCTACTGGTATCACTTGAAATGTTGATTAATAAGATTATAAACCGTTAATTGAAAATAATGTGATATATAAAAATGAATACTTTTATAGAAGTTCAGTTGTTTTTGTGTAAATTGTTACATATAAATTAGTTCAATCTAACTAACCTAATGAAGTACAAGTCGCACATTTATCATTGACTTATAATATTTGATTAAATGATAAAATGTCTCAAAAAAATCTCAAGATTTAATTAATATAATTAATAATTTATTTATTTATTATAAATTAATTGAAGTTAGTAATAGTTACTATACTCTCTTCAGAATAAGAAGACACCAGGCGGCCACTGTCAAAACCGATTTTGCTACATAAATCTGGTGTGCTCTTATTAATGTACAATTATTAGTATGACAGTGATAACATAATGGACTCAACAAAATATTATTAAATATACATTAGACCAAATTATGTTAGATATAAAACACATCATTCTATCATGCATATAAAATCAAGTCTCATGCAAGGTTATTTAGATTCAAACTATGAAAAATGAAATAACAGCAGAATATAAACATGTACATTTTACCAAAAGTGTGACATGTATTATTTTTAGTTTATCAATCTGCCAGCCAAATTTTGTAACATTTTAATGCATTTTATAATAATTTGATAAATTTATAATTTTTTTTTTTTTTTTATTCATATTAAAATCACTTTCCCACTAGTCTTTTAACGAGTCAGCAAAAATCTTGATTATCGTTAACTTAACACTCAAATTTTTAACATTAAGTCTAGATATAATTTATTGCACAATCATCTTACAATCATATACTATGTATATACTATGTACTATGTATTTTCGATTGTCTCAGAATTTATTTTAACATATAAAATAATTTTTTTGTCAGTTTGACATATTACTCAAATATATATAATGGATATTTCATATTGGGTAATCAGAAAATAAAACAACAAAGTTACTAATAAACTAATTAATATTTATCTAAAACTAAAAGTTTTTTTCTGTTTTGAAAAAACATACCTGATCACCAGCACCAACCTCCTCAGCATTTCTATTGATATGTACACCAGCAGCAATATTTGGAGATTGTTGATCAATAGCAAGCATCACCGAACATGTCTTGTAATCAAAACCTGGCAACCCGATGGCGGGACAACATACAACACAAAGCAAAAATCAGCATCTTAATTGCAGTTTTATTTATATTAAATAAAACATTAATTATTCTATCTAATAGTAATAAAAATAAACTTTAAAAAAAAAAAAAACCATTATTTAGAACAAGTATTAATAAATTTGCTTTACATTAATTACTAGTCCATTATAACCAGGATTAAAGATAGTATGGTTGCCCAACAAACCATAATAAAGTGACCCCCAAAGTTTCCTTCTTACCATAACAACTTTTTTTTATAGCACAACCGAGCATCAGTTTAAATATTGAACCATACATTTAAATAACATGTTTTATAATAATTAATGCCTCTTACTTAATTTATATCCTATAATCTGGTTGAAGTTTCTAGAGTATCATTAATAAAAGAAACTATGAGCCCAATTAAATTGTTTCTTATCATAGTTACTTGGGCAACCATTCTATCTTTAATCGTGATTTTAACTAAACAAGTGAGATTTTACATAAATTATAAACTTTTAATTTCTTATATTGATTTTAATAGAAGGTAGCTACAGTATCCTAAACTCACTTAATTGTTTCTGTTCAGAAACAGTAAGTTTCTAAGTAATTATTAAGAAAAAACATTGTAGATATGACAATAAGTTTTCAGTATTTGTTTATATGCCCAAAACCACAAACACACACTCAAACACACTTTCTAATCTTGTTGGAAATACAAAAAATTGATTATACCAAATAACCAAATGGTAAAAACATATGTTCAATGTTCATGTATAGAAAAATGAGATACACTATTGTTCATTATACCTAACACAAATTCATAGGTACAGTACACTGTTGAATTTCATTGATCAATTGTTAAACAATCAACAATGGTCTAAGCTAGGCACCGGAAATCCACGGCACGCAGGCTGCATGCAGCCCTCGGAACTTTTTTCTGCGGTCCACAAAATATATTTCATGGTATTTACAATTTTAATTTTAAATTTTAAATTGTGATAAATAAAATTGAATCATGACTATTACATTGCAACTAAATTTTATAAATGTATATTTTTTCATTAATTTTTTTTCTGTAAAATTTGTATTTTTTCATACTTATATTTCCATGTAAAATAATTAAATATAATAGGAATAAAATAATTAGTATTATGTCATATGTACAGTTTTTCTTTATTAATTCGAACCTTGATCAAAAATTTAAAAAAATAAATATGGCCCGCATGTTTAAAAAGGTTGCTGACCCCTGATCTAAGCTAATAACAGTTTTTTTTTTCATTCAATAAACAGATAATGTTTATTTATTTTTTATATGGACCCCTGTTTCTTATTTTTAAATGCAAGAATAAATAAAAATTATTGTTAAAAGCAGTATTAGTTATAATAATTAATGCAATCCAATTGACTTTAAAACATTTTTCATTCATAACCACCAACAATAAAATATATTACTTTCGTATCCTTATTATTCAGGAACGTACATTGAAACTAATATTTATTAACTTGAAAAAGAAACAATAATTTTAGCATTTTCATATGTAATAAATTATTTAATTTATTATTAAATAATAAACCCAACTAAATGTATATTTACTTTTAAATAAATAAATGTAACAACAAAGTTTTCTTTGGGTATGATCTAATATACACATTAATTTCAAGTGATAGCAAAACCGTATGTAATCTTAGTAAAGCTTAAACAACCAAAATGACAATCAGGTAATTTAAAAATAAAAATGTAATTTTGTAAAATAAAACATAGTATTTTGTCATAATAAGACAATTCAAATAGTGCAAAAATTAATTTTTATTACTTATAGTATTATTAACTAACATATATTGAATAATAAGATGTAAGTTATGAGCAGGGCTCGGGACTTAAAGCACTTAAAATCATTAAAATAAGCGCTTAAATAAGCACTTAAAAACATCATTATAAGCACTCAAATAAGCATTTAAAAAACTTAAATTTAAGCAAAAATATTTATTAAAAAAAAAAACAATAAAATAAAAATAAAAATTTATCTTTATATTATAAAAAAAATTAAACTTCATTTTCAGGACTGAGGATTTTATGGATTTTCCAAGGGATTTTCTGAAAAATAAAATGTAAACAATATTTACAAATAGTTGAAAAAAAATAATTTTTTAATACATTTTAATAAATTTTTTTATTTAAATTATTTTTAATTTTAATTCTATCAAAAACAACTTTGCAGTAGAAAACCATAAAAAAGTATGAAAACTGGTCAAAAAAGCAATAAATATCATAAAAACTTGAAATAAGCATTTTTTTGAAAAATCACTGAAAAAAGCAAAAAAAAGCACTCTCAAATTTCATAATTGAATGTGTTGTAACATGACATACACTTCTATAGTACTCTGCTACATTTTATGTCAATCTAAAAAAATAAGCAAATGCTTTAAGTCCCGAGCCCTGGTTATGAGATACCCTTTACAACACAAATAATTTTTAAGTTAATGTGGCATTTAAAACGTTATCAATAAATAAATATTTGAATACGATTTAAGGGCTTAAAATTCTTTAATATAATTAAATACTATTTATAAAAGTTGCTACAAGTTAAATTTGCTCATAAATATTAATCATAACATTTTAATTCACCTATTCAAATAAAACTAATACTTTCCGGATTACTTATCTACATTGAAATTGAAATACATTTATTAACTAATTGTATAATTATATTCAAACTTGTTTAGTAATCCTGCCCTATTGACTTTGTAATTGATTAATCACATTTTATGATAAATAATAACTTTAATTTGGCACCTACTGGTCCCATAAAAAATATACTTGTTATAAATAAAATTGGTTTAATTTAATTTTCAGAAAAATTCCAGGAAGGTTGTTTCTAAAAAATTATACTTAAGTTGTTTAACATATTAAAGTACCTTTTGATGAATCATCGTAGCCTATATGTTTAATTGTGTCTCGAACTACTCTTTGATAATCAACATTGGCTTTGGATGTTATTTCTCCACAGAGTAAAACCATTCCAGTTTTGGTAACAGTTTCTAAAAAAAAAAATTATGTTTAAGTTTAAATATAATATAAAGTAAATTATAATTAACATTTTGTATTTGTATAAATGGACTAAAAATAGAAGTTATATTTTATACTATTATTTATTTCTTAGTTAATAGTTTATAAGATTATCATTTTATACATTATGTTAAATTAAGTACAAATATAACTTTCTAGGTAGTAGGTAGTAGTATCAATAAATAATGTCAAACATTTGGTACATATTCTGATAGAATACATAAAATATTCTCCTGATGTGCTTAAGTTATTAATATCAATAATATACATTATTAATAGATAATATTATGAAATTATATATCAAAAAAATAAATAATGTCTATAATATTTTTCCAAACAATATAAACCTCCAACTTTATATTAACTGTACAGTTTCGATTTTAGCAATACATTTTTTTTGTGGAATTTAAAAAATTTGAATATCAAGTAAAACCTTAAAAAACTAACTGTAATGATAAAAATTCTTAGGTCTAATTAATTATTTTAAAGTAAATATTGATACAAAACATTAATGCGGTAAAAACGTGAAAAAAACTTAAAATAGTAATAAAACTCACCGCAAGCCACTTTTGCGTCGGGATCTTGTTCCAAATGTGCGTCTAAAATAGCATCACTGATCTGATCACACATCTTGTCTAGAATAAAAAAGGATATAGTACTACACATTAAAATACATTTTTCGTTCGGCAGGAATCTTCAGGAATATGAAATTAACGATTTAAGGGACGAACCAACTTCTGATGCTATTTAGTACGTACGGTATGATTTCGGCGGCCCAAAGTTGTCTCTTATCACCGGTTGTTTTTTCCCAAGAAATATGAATAACCGATGCAGACCGGTTGTCAATTATTAACATACATGAAATATGCGAAGATAATAAACAGTGAACGACTGACGGATGTGGGGACATTATTATACTGTAAATGGGGAAAAGTTCAAATTGGCTTTCATAAACTACGCAATACAGTCGGGCAATGACGTTTGGTACGCCTCGGACGTACAAAACACGTATTTAGCGAATGTATGTAAAATAATTTTAATATGGAAAAACTTTGTTAAAAACTTAAAAACCACACTTTCGCAGCCAAACGTGCAGGTGCGATTAATGATAATTTTGGTAGGTTTATTATAACGATCGTCTTACCCGGGTGTCCTTCTCCGACGGATTCGGAAGTGAACAGGAACATCTCACCGTCTGGGCCCTCTGGAGGAAGTTCTCCATTTCCGTGTCCATTGGCGAACCCATTGGTGGGAGCATATTTCTTTTCTTCGGACATGACGATTTTGGCTGAGGTGGTGTGAGTCTTTGTAGTGCTGCGCTACAACTGGTGCTGTAGGGCCTTTGATCTGGCTGCTGCGGCGTTTTCCGTTATGAAGAGTTCGACGTCTGCTGGAAGTTCAAAAAAAAAGGAACGTTAATCGTTATAACTGTCAGAAACTACTAAACATGATGATAAAATAATTAATATTAAAATAACGACGGAAATAAAAACCATAAATAATGGATAATAATAACTGATAATAATGAGCTTTTATTATAATGAGAGTAAATCAAATAATTACGGACGGCTGCGGTTTGTGTTGACAGTAGGTGCTAGGTATGCTGATTCTGTCGCTGCTATTGCTAGTTGACACCTGTAAGATTCGAACGGCTTGTACGTTTGTCAAGTGTGAAGTGAGGAATGAACGATTCGTCTACAAATGGCGGATGCGGCGGAACAGCACAAAACGCACCGGAACAGTGCGGCCAACTTGGCAGGTCATGGTGCCGATTACTGCGATAGATGAACGGACCACGACCGAAACACCCATGGCATTGCCACTACCGCTAGACATATTATGCCGCTTGACCAACGGTAGCGGCGGCGGCGGACGGCGGCAACAAAATTTAAAATAACAATAAGCACAATGTGTTTGTCTCATACTTTACATTATTCACTTATATACAAGTGTTATATTGTTATGTTAATATATCTATCAAGGCTGGGCAAGTTAACTACTTTTTTTAACTCGTTAAGTTAAGTTAATATAGAAAAATGTAAGTTAAGCTTAAAGTTAAAAGTTAACTTCATTTTTTTTTTAACTTGTAAAAGTTACAAGTTAATTAGAAAATAAAAGTAACTTAACTTAGTTAAAAATAAGTTAATTTTTTTTTTTAAATAAAATTAACAATTATACCTACCTACCTACCTTTTTAAAAGCTAACAAATAATTCAGTAAATCAAAAAATCAAAAAATGTCTTACAATATTTGAATAAATGTTTGTAATAAAATTAGTTACTGTAGGTACTTATATTAATTTTGTGTATTATACTTTAATTAGGTAAATAGTAAATACCACACTACTACGGGTATTATTTACATCGACGGGCCAAGTTATCATTGTAATTCTATGAATGAATAAAAATATACCTAATAATAAGTAATGATTTTAATAATGATTAGGTATAGTTTAGGTACTGAGTAAATTGTTATATTTTTCTTTGACGCGGTTACCCCTATGATATTTCCCTCTATAATATAGTTATAAAATATTTTCTGTGAATATGCAATATAAAAACTTACTATTATTATAAATTATTATTTAATAAAATATATTTAATATTTCGGGTTTTTTTTTATGTAATTAATTTTACAAAATTGAATTAATTTTAAATAATATGTGGTTTGGGAAAAAATTAACTTAACGTGCCAATACAATTAATTAACTCGTTAAGTTACTGAATAACATGGGGAAAAATGTAAATCGTTAAGTTAGAAGTTACTTCTAAAAAAAAAAGTAACTCGTTATTTAACTTAGTTAAAAGTAACTTAACTTTTTAACTTAACTTTAACTTATTAACTCGTTAATGCCCAGCCTTGATATCTATTATATTGTGTATACATAAATTAATAATATATATGATATCTGTATAATATATTATGTTTGAATAATTTATAAATCATTACACTATGTAGATCGTTATCGTCTATAGTCACAATACCTACGTAGATTCCAATTTTATTATTCCATTGTGGTCCCGGGGATACGGCTCGACGGCGGCCGGATACGTATTTTTAGGCACGCGTTTGTACGTATCCGGGTTTATTTTTGTGTATGTTGTCAGGACGGCTGTATTGTTATAACGAAAATTAGACAATAATAAAAATAATATAATAATATTAACTACCATGATTGAATAGGTAAAAAACAAATAAAATAATTTATTACTAAAAATATGTCTCAAACTCTCAACTCACAATAAGATAGATTCCAGAATTTTAACTGATCCATTTCGTTCACAAAAAGCATCAAAGCATTATTTTGACTACTTATCGTGTACACAGATACAAAAAAAAAAAAAACACACATCATTGTTAAATCAATACATTCATCGTTTCAATCAGAATCTAATATTAATACTTATAAGTTATTAGACTACAATAATAATTTATTTACAAGAAATATATTTTAAATATGTATACACATCATTAAAATAATTAAGTAATATACTTATAAACTAAACTAATTCATATCTTTGGTAGTACCTATTAAATATTTTTTTCACTTGAAAAAGATTTTTTTTCTGGTTTTTTAATCGACAAATTTAAGAACATCGCAGTATGGATTACAGAAACCATTTTTAATAATTATAAACAAAGCGAGGTCCTTAATTGTTGCGTTTAATAATCCTCCTTTAATTTTCCAGGTAAAATATGGAGAAATGTCATCATTATTTTATATTTATAGAATAATATTTCAATAATACATCAAATATCTACACTGACAGTGAAATTTGATTCATACATAAATACATTAAAATAATGTGATTTTGATATTTGTTTTCAAGTAGGAAAATAGTAAATTATTAGTTGGGCTGGGGCCTGGGGTCCCTGCAGTCTATGGGCCTCAGTGATCAACAACCCCCATCTTCGGGGAGTTGTGCTACTGTAAATATTATACGCAAAGGTAAAGATGTATATTATTTTATACCTAACTTATAACCAAATCATTATCAATTTTACCCACTTCTTAAAATAAATCGAGTCAGTTGGTGTCAACTTCGAAAAAATCATTGAAACAAAATAAATATGATTCCAATAATAATAATAAAAAAATAAGTAGGAACCTTTAATAAGTATTAATAAGTATTAAACATATTTAAGGTGTGTGGTTAGTTATGAGCTAAAAATATGAAGTCGAGATTGTTTGTGGGAGGGAGAGGTGCTTCAAATATTGTTGCCCTAGGGCGTTATTGGTGGTTAGAGCGGCACTGCAGACTATACTATGATTAGGTACCTATATTATTTTATATTTCATGACTAAGTACCTACTTGAATCAAATAATCTATACACGCAGGAAACATTGATAGTGAATAACTTATCTGTTATCAACCAAAAGTTTAACTTTATAAGTATAAAATATGGTTCCTATTTTGGTATTAATTGTATGATAATTTAAAAACCATATCAGAAAAAGTAGAATCTTAGGTGATTAAAAATCAACAATTGTATACAATAAAGTAATACAGTAATATAACTTATATTGTTATATAGGTACTTATTACTCGTTTATAAAATTATAAACTTATAAAGTTATAACACTTTGCAGCACTACTAACTTTTATAAATTTAACAAGTTTTAAATAATTATAAAACAATTTATAATATTATAAGTACCTACCTAAATCAATAAGTAAGAAATAAAAAACATCAACAATTTTTATATGAGTTTTGAAATTTATAAATAGCAAGAAGGCTACCTATGTTTAAATTTGTCATACATACTATAGATATTTTGTTTAACATCTTCTACATTATATTATGTAAATGAGTTATAAATAGTTTCTTTGTTTGATTAGAAATTAAATATTTCTAGAAAGGAAATTTCACTAATTTTAAAAACTCTAGTTTTAACTAGGTACTGATAATAACTACCTACTCGTACGGAATTTGATATTTATACATCGAAGTACTCCGAATAATATTCGGCTTTGCGATATGAAATGAAAATTGCATGTTGTCGTTCGAAATACTAAGAAACATAAAAATAAATAAATAAAAAGATAACGATAAGGTATTACTTTTTTCCACCGCGTTCTCAGACCTCAGACCTCAGACCAGAGGCACACAGCAGAACTCCATCCATAAGACGTGTGTGAAGTTGGCACCCCTAATTCGTCACCCAACTGGTATCATATTTTTGCAAATTACCTAATTGCAACATTTTGCTATACTGCAAAAAAAAATGTTGCAACATGGTTTTACAACCCTCGCTACGAAACATACAGTTCGGTTGGCCAAGTTCACGTTAGCACCCTGACTTTGTCTCAATATAGCAAAAACTGTTTTCGCGCCATATTTGTCTTAGAACTATCAAATTTTCGTAACATGTAAAGAAAAACTTTATCTGTGCAATAGCGTACAGGGGTTTCTCTTTCTAAGCTCAGTCCATTTATAATAGGTCAATGGTTTTTTTTTTTTAATAACACAATCCAAGAATTTTTTTTTAAGCAAATGAAAATTAACGAAATGTTTAGAAGCAAATAACTCTTATTGTATTTATGTTATCTAAAATATAGGCACTTTGTTTCATAGATAAAGCTGTTGATCAGACATCTTGGAGCCACTACTACAAACGCAGGAAGGTAAAAGTTGTCCCATGCAAAACAGTTTTTTCCATGTTGTACATTTGTAAGATGGAGACAACACATGCGGGTGTGACGTCCTCATAATATATTATAATATTCGCTTGTATACACATAATATTATAATAATGTAAACTTCAATGGCAGTTTGCGAACGACGACCATAGAAACATTCTCGTGTGGTCGACAAATCCGCCACAGTACTAGAGACCGAAGCAACACACAAATATGCACAAAAGACCCGTGTAATATAGGGTTTAAAAATCTCGCGGCATTATTTTCTTGAAATATTTGGTTTGTGTGAAAACAAAAAAAAAATTGTGTAATTTATGTAAAAGTTTATTCTATATATAGGTAAAAATCATAAACTACCTAACAGCAAGAGAACATCTTTAAAAGTTGGTTTATTGTAGCGAATACCAATCAATAATAAAAAAAAATATGCAAGTAGCCGTTGGGGACTCAATTGATATGTAATTATTAGTGATGGGTTAACCGATAGTATAATACCATTTGTACAAGCCTGCATGGCAAGTTAATGATAATTTTTAACTGAGTTAATTTAAGTTAATGGAAAACATTTTAAAAAGTTTAAAGTTAACATTTAACCTAATTTTTATTACAAAAGATATATGCATTTGTTAGATATGTATCCAAGTCAAATCAAAACTACGCACACAGTAGTAGTAACTACTAACTAGGTAGTACTTAGTAACATTGATTATAATATACTATAATCATAAATCCAAAAGCGGATCTGAAGCTCTTTTAAAGGGGGGGGGGGCGAATTGGTATCATAGAATTTCAATATATACAAATTAGTCAATAAACATCTGTTATATATATATAAACGTATAAAAATTCAACAGTCTTTTATTCAATATTAAATAAACAAAATATGTACTGTAATAATTTATTTGAGCAACAATTGCATGGTTCTTTTTTTACCAGCCTCAAATGTGTCAATGAACAATGAAAATAAAGTATTCAGAACTCAATATTAAAATTGAGTTATTTACCACAGTCACAGTGAACAAAATATTTAATTTATTTTATAAAAATGAATTGATAACAGATTTGATGGTAGGAGAAAAAGTCCCGGGGGAAAAAAGTCTTGGAGGTAAAAAGTCTGTTTGCTAAAGATAATATCTAATAATTATGTAATCAAATAACAGGTAACTACCATGAAGATTAGAGATAAGGAGACCAAACTCCGTATACAAATTATGGCCCGACAAAAGTTGCACGGTTATTCTGCCACCAGGAGTGCGTCGTTCGATAGCAGTGCTACGTTTTACCACTTATTATAAGTACTTTTCTATAAATGTACGTTCTTTTTCATTTTTTTGATTTCGAATGAAATATAAATTATGATTTATTATTTATTACCTGGTCAGGTTAAAGTATACCTAAATATAATATTATAATCAAAGTTCAAAAGTTTTTTTTTTTACTTTTGACCAAATAATTGCTTACTTTTACTATTAAATCATTTGAAATTATTATTATTTTTTCAGATCCACTATTCCATATTGCAAGCACTACTTCATCATCAGTTAATCCAAACATCCATTTATTATCTGGTTTTTCTAATAGATTCAGATTTCCTTTTAAATACTGAAATGAAAATTCTTCGTTTGAATTTTCAACTGTATTTAAATATGCCTGACTTGGTTTAAATCTCTTTTTATCACTATTTATAGACCTTTCGAGAAGAGGTTTTCTCTTAATTGTATGCTCTGTTAAATAAAATGGTAAGTTCGGAAATATAGATGGAACTGCCCCAGCTTTTAATGTGGGTCTAATTCTTTTAATTTTATTGATTGTTCCATCATTTAAGATAGTCTCATCATAAATTAGAATATTATATTTAATTTAATATTAATATATTCTCTTTGAAATGCACTTCACACACATAACACTTTTCTGTGAGCATTTTGTCTTTCCTAGGTACATATAGGCGCAACTAGGGGGGTGCTTGGGGGTGCTTCAGCAAACCCGAACTTTGATTTAGCACCCCCAGTTCAAAAACAGCAAAAATTGAAAAATCATATGAAATAAATAGTTTTTTTAGCTTTACTTAAGGTTTTTTTTTATTTCTTCGTTTTTAGCAGAAACAAAAATTATTGTTTTTTAATGATTATATAGGTATATCAAATATTAAAATTTAGAATTCTTCAATTTTTTTTGGAAATTTTCAGTTAGCAATTTATAAAAGTTTTTCCTTTCATAGCTAACATTATAAATGTTGATAGAAGACTCCTCACAATTGGTACTATCTTAAACAAAATAAAAAGTTTACTGGAAAGTAACATACATTTTTTATGAGCGTTTGAATCTAAAATGTGTACAACATTCAATTTTCAATTTTTATCAGTAAATTAACGAAATTTCATCTATTAATTTTTGATATTTTGTTGTAATTTAAAAACGAATAATCTTAGATACTTGGTTAAACAAGGTATAACATGGTAAAATGTTTAAACAATTTTGACTCTTTTTGAGGTACCTATTTATAACTGAGAAATTTTTCAAATATTTTTAATTATTTTTCAGTTAGCAATTCATAAAATAATTTCTTTTCACAGTTAAGGCCCAATATTACAAATGTTAATAAAAGATTTCACATAAGTTTGTCTACCTATAAAAAAAACGTTTACTTAAACTTGAATTTTTTATGAGTGTTCGAACTTATAATTGTCAGCGGTAAATCGAATTCCCATTAATCGATTTTTTGGATTTTGTTGTATTTCCAAAATGAATTACCGTAGACTCTTGAAATGTTTGAAATGTTCACCAAATATGTATAATAGCATTTTCCATACATCGTAAATTCTTTAAACACTTTTGACTTTTTATGAACTATTTATAGCTATTTATGAGAAAATTTTTCAAATTGAATTCAAATATAACACATCCACTACAACGACATTCTCAACAACTATTGTACAGCAAAGCGGTACCCACTTGACCACATTTTTTTTTTATTTATTTACACTTCCAGGTTACTATTTTTATCACCTAAATAATATAATATACCTCATGTATTCATCAGGTATATTACTGTTGATTTACTTAAATACTAGTGTCCTTATGTGTTCATGGTGCATTTAGGAATGGTTATAGTAATTATAAAATCAAAGTATGTGATTTTGGGGTGTGGGGGCTCAGCCCCCGCGGGTTTGTGTTCTCTACATAATTTTATCACCCCCAGTGTTTCGCCTCTAGTTGCGCCTATGGGTATAGCTCTATGCCATCTTGCTAAAAGCTCTGTGTTCTAAATATTATTTGTAACAAATAATTAAATAAAAAATGATTATTCATAAATAAGGTTAAGATAGTATGTTTTCTTATTTTGGGTGCTTTAAACAAACTTTTATTTTTTAATCCGATTTTTTTTTGATGTTCGACATCTAAAGCATAACCAGTATTACACCCTGGCACGAAACAACAATTAACCATTTTTAATGTGTAAGAAATAAAACACAAAATACAAATTACTATTGTTTTATGTTTTAGGAATAATAAATCAAGTTTAATTCGAAAAACGTACATAATCCCTATTATACTACATGATATAATTGTAAAACGTAGCACTGCTATCGAACGTGGCAGAATAACCATGCGACTTTTGTCAGGCCACTTTATAAACGAGCGGCTATAGGACTTTGGTCTCCTTATCTCTAATCTTCATGGTAACTGCTAAATACAAAACAGAAAATTACATTAAATTACATAATTATAAAAAACCTAGTTCTATAAATTGTTATCGCTGAAACTTTTAATAAATACAAAACAGATATTAAACAAAAATAATAGCTAATAATTATAAAATTATAAAAAAATATCTCATTTAATCTTAGTCAATAATATTATTAAAAAAATATACATATCTATATATCACTAAGTTATGTCAGAATAGAAAAAAAATTATTTTAATAAACTTATGAACTTTTCTTCCGTTCTCCAACTGCGGTGCAGCACGCTACGGCTACAGCACTGCTTGGTGGTAAAATGATTTTATCTGCCATTCTATAAATAATCTAAAACTATAACCTAAGTTGTCTACAGCATACAATAATAGCGAAACAATAATACACTTACCATAAATTCTGTTTTTTGTATCATATCGTAAAAAAAAATTATTATAATATAGTAAGTATATACATATATATATATATATATAAATGTATAATATGTTGTTATTATAAATAAGCCTGTATAATAAAAAATGAAAAAAAATAAATAATAATAAATAATTCATGACTCATTGATCATTATCGTCAAATAAAAATTGAATACGCCGTGGTTCCATGCAGAAAAGCTTAATTGTATCTTCAACAATGTCAGATTGTTGACTTTTTAAAATATCACTATGAATTTACATAAGTGCTAAGCCATTCAAGGGGAGTTGTGTCATACTACTGCGAAACCAAGTTTTCAATTTTTTAAGTGAGCTATAATATAAATCATTTGTCCCTCTAAAAGGTAACCCATGTTTTCCAAGAAATATAACTGATGAAACAATTGATTTTAATTTATCTTTATTCGATTCAATTGTTTTCCTTACTGAAGAGTTTACCATTTGATATACATCAGTTTTCTTACCATTCATAATAGAAATGAAATCATTGGCTCTCTGAACTGAATGATTATGCCAAGCACTTTTGACATGACATTTAGACTGTTCATGGAAATTTTTGTATTTACTAAATGCCGTTTTTATAAACGCACCATGCACACCACCTTTATCAAGGGGGTGTTCAAAAAGCACACAAAATTTACATAAAGCACCTTTTAAAACTGTTGAATAACAAAGCCAATCATATTGCTTAAGCCATGCTAGTAAGAAAGGTCTTTTACCAGAAGAAACATCTGCTTTATAATCATAAGAACTACTAGGCATGCACGGAGATGTAAGCATTTTATATTTTTGCTCATTGTCAACCAAAATGCAAATAAATACAATAAAAATTAGGTATTATCTAAATTAGCGGGGGGGGGCATGGCCCTCCCCGGCCCCCCCTGCGGGCGGCCTTGGCGTTATACATCAACAAAAACCGTGATACTATCATAGATATATAATAGTATACTTTAGAAGTTTCAAGTACCCACGAATAATATTATTCAATCACCACAAAATAACTAAAATAGTTATTCTAGGTTTTTTAATATGTAATTTCGTCCAAATTTGATTTTGAAAGTCTGTAAAAAATAACTGTGTTCATATATTTTTTAGATTTATTGGTTACAGTATGACCTATTAATGAGAACTTTTGTTTTAAATTTGCAATCCTTAGCTATAAAAACTGAACATTTTATAATTTATTAATTACAATGATAGATAATTTTCGAGATTTTGATATATTTTTTAAAATTTCAACTTTAAATGCTTATAAAAAAAAATTGTGCCTATGTATTTTCAATGTTTTTGAACTTATATTGTAACAATATATCAGGAGTCTTCTATTAAATTTTTACACTTTTTGGCCCAACAGAGAAAACTAAATTGATATTTATAGAAAAAAAAACTAAAAAAATTTAAAACTGTAAATGTCCGTAAACAGCTCAAAAAGAGACAAAATATTTTCAACATTTTATGATGTATAGAAAATGCTAATTTAAACATTCAGTGAAATTTTCATGTATCTACAGTTGTTCGTTTTTGAATTATAACAAAATAAGGAAATCGCCACATGAGTAATCGAGAGAATATCCAATGTTGTAAAAATTTGAATTTCAAACGCTCATAAAATTTAATTTGACTTTCTTAAAGACATTTTTTTTTTGATAAAGGTAGATAATCTTATAAAGAATCTTGTATTACATTTTAAAATCTTAGATTTAAAAGGAAATTTTTATACGAATTCTTAACTCAAAACAATTTGCTAATTTTCGTGATTTTTCCATATTTTGTCAATTTTTGAACTTTAAATGCTTATAAAAATAAATCGTGACTAAGGATTTTTAATATTATTTTTCATCTGCCTTTGAAACAATATACTAGCAGCCTTCTATTAAATTTTCAAGCTTTCGCAACCAACAAATAAAATTGTATTGATATTTTTAGAAAAAAAACTAAAAACAAATGGAAAATGAAAATGAAAATGTCCCTAAACAGTTCAAAATAAATCAAAATATTTTGAAAATGTTATCGTGTATAGAAAATGCAAATATAAACAACCACTGAAAATTTCATGTATATACGATCGTTTGTTTTAGAGTTACACCAAAAGCCAAAATCTATTTTTTGGAAAACCGATTTTGCGTAAAAATTCCCGTTTTTCCTTAATTTTTATGTTGTTTTTCTCGGTGCTTGTTAAAACTACTAGGAAATTTTTACTTTTGACCCCCCCAAAGTACCAACTAGATTCACTTTTCTATTAGAAAAGCTACTGTTGAAGAAAATCCAAGCACTTTTACTGTCCTAAAACGTGATGACAGACACAAAAAAAAATAAAAGATAAATTAAAAAAATTAAAAAAATACACACATCATTGTAAAATCAATACATTCATCGTTTCACTCAGAATCTAAAACAATTAGATTTATAATAGTAAAGTTTATTTATAACATATAATTGATCATTATGTGCATGGTCTGTAATAAAAAAAAACTTTTTGCAGTTTTTCATATTGAGAAGTGTGTCTATGAACGATTAAATAATTCGGGGAGCACAAATTAGTTGTGTTCCTGGCGGCCGTGTAAATATTATCTACATGCCTCCACAAATCGGTTAGTAATAGGTGGTTCCACGACATTTGATCCTTTAAATAATTTCCGGCAACAAATGATCTAGTCATTAGATCCAGTGCAAAAATATCCTGTACTCAAATTAACCGGGTTACAAATATCCGGTATTTTTAAATAATTAAAGTTATTGACTCTAAAAATATAAAATATAAATGTAGGTATAATAATTGTAGGATAAATATAATTGTGTTTCTATGATAAATAACTGATAGCCATAAGTCAGTAGGTATACCATAGTTAAGGAGGCTGGAGCGTGATTAATTTTCGGTCGAAAACATAGCTCATAACTTCAATCACTACGCCCAATATAATGTTATTAATTTTGAAAGCAGGTTTGAATTCATTACTAAATCATCTATGTTTCGACCATTTCATTTTTCTGATTTTTATTTTTTTTTTTACTTAGAAATTTACAAACAAAAAGAGTAAAAATAGATCATATTCATAATTATAATTGAAATACATCGATATAGAATATTAAAAATGTACGACAGTCAAAGCATTGTAAATTTAAAGGAGAATTCAAATCTGTTTTCAACATTTAAATCGGAACTTCCCTCTGAGAAAAGTGATTGAAGTCACTGGCAGTATTTTTTGAAAAAAAAATGTTTGTAATTTTATAAAGTAATAAGTGGTGACAAGTGCATGCGCGTAGGTAAAATGACAGACGTATTATGTTGCCCCTATATACTTATAACTTAACAATATCTTTAGTGCTTATTGTTTTTAGTATAGCCCAGCGATTCTCAAACTGGAGGTAGCGAACAATTTTAGATTCTGAGAGAAACGATGAATGTATTGATTTTACACGGATGTGTGTTTTTTATTTTTTTATTTATTTTTGTGTCTGTCATCACTGTTTGGGGCAGTAAAACTGCTTCGATTTTCTTTACAGTATCTTGTTCGATGGGAAAGTGAATCTAGTTGGTGCATTCAGAGGGTCAAATTTTAAAATTCCCAATAGTTTTAACGAGTGCCGGGAAAAACAACATAAAAAATAAGGAAAAACGGTAATATTTACGCAAAATCTGTTTTCCAAAAAATCGATTTTGGTTTTTGGTGTAACTCTTAAACAAATGTACATATATACATAAAATTTTCACTGGATGTTTATATGAGCCTTTTCTATACATGGAAATATTTTCAAAAAATGTTGACTTGTTTTGAGCTGTTTACGGATATACTCAGTTTCGAACTTTTTTAAAGGTTTTTTTTCTATGAATGTTAATCAAACTTTATTTTTTTTGTGAAAAAGCTTGAAAATTTAATACAAAGCTCCTATTGTATTGTTAAAACGATGTTTGAAAAATATTAAAAATCCTTAGTCACAGTTTTTTTTATAAGCATTTAAAGTTCAAATATTGACAAAATACGGAAAAAACGCGAAATCTTGCAAATTATTTTGAGTTAGAAATTCATAAAAATTTTTCTTTTTAAATCTAAGATTTAAAAATCTAATACAAAATTTTTCATAAGGCTTTCTACCTTTATCAAAAAAAAAAAATGTCTACCGAATATGAAATGAAATTTTTATGATCATTTTAAATTCATATTTTTACAAAATTTGTTATTCACTCGATTTCTCATGTAACGATTTTCTTATTTTGATATAATTCAAAAACGAATGATTCTAGATTCATGCAAATTTTACTGAATGTTTATTTTATCAATTCTTAAACTTGATAAAATTTTCAAAATATTTTGATGCTTTTTGAGCTGTTTACGGGCATTGTCAGTTTTCAATTTTTTTTTTTTTTTTTCTATGAATATCAATTAAGTTTTATCTGTAATGCCAAAAAGTTAAAAAAATTAATACAAGGCTCCTGATATATTTTTACAATAGCAGTTGAAAAATATTAAAAGTACACAAACACAATTTATTTTTATAGTCGTTTTAAGTTCAAATTTGGACAAAATTACATAATAAAAAAACCTAGAATAACTATTTAACTCATTTCGTTGTGATTGTATAATATTATTCGTGGGTACTTGAAACTTCTAAACTGTACTATTATATATCTATGATAGTATCATCGTTTGTTGTTGATGTATAACGCGTTATAAGTACCTACTGGATATTATGATATGATTAATTTGGAATTTATTTTAGGTACCTATCATAGGTCAAATTTTTTTTTAACACCATCTATATGTATATAATATGTCGTATACCTAGACTGATAAACCATCTCAACTCAGAATCGTTTTTCGTATACAATGATATTTCATTGAATTCAAACTTAATACCATCCATTATACAGTGACCCCCTTGTAACCTACTGTACAGCAAAGCACCTTTTTTTTTTTAATTTTGACCAATACATACCTAACCTTGCTATCATAATAAAATGGTCGCCAACAATTTTGGTGATAATATTGTAGAGGGATGCAACCTTAAACATGACTGAGAACTGCTGGTATTGTCTACAAAATATTATAGTCTTCGGTAGTGAACGTGTTAACAACCAGCAGAGATTTTCAAATCTCGTTTCTGTTTTATTTTTATTGAATCGGTTTATTTCGTTATTCGTTAGGATATTTTGTTTTCAATTAAGAAAGGTTTTCAAGAAAATCAAGCTTTAACGTAATAATATTATATAGTAATGCCCCGCGGACGTCCTTCTAAACCATGATTTATTGACAACATAAGATTCACTTAATCAAGAGGGCATTGAAATGTTTCGATTATAACAAATGCCAAAGACAATATTTCTCAAAATAATCCTAACAGCATATAACCCATGAACAGCAGGCGTCCACTTCAACCATACTTCATAGTACCTAGTTCTGAGATTATTACTAACGAAAATCAGCTTATCGTCCATATTTTTGTTTTATTATAAGAAAAATAATATAAAATGATTTCATTCAAATAAATTTATATAGTTTTTGAAGAACTGGACACGAGCTAAACTAGTAGGCACTTTTATAATAATTATTACAATATGATATCATACAATATTATTATGGTACAATATTGTAACGCCTGATAACAGCTTCAAGTTATTCAAATTATTTTTAAAACTGAATCGTATATTATGTAAGATAATAATGTTATTTGAATGGTACAATGTTTTATGCAAGGTAGATAATAATATACAACTTAAAAAAGTGATGTTACATTAGGATGAAATTACATTAATTTTACTATTTTAGTTTGTTTATTTTAATAATATGGTCCTATGGTTTACAGGTGGTCATTATTTTTAGTGGAAATAACGCGAAAGTCCTTAATAGTATACGTTCAAAACAGCTTATACTTTATACAGGCAAACCTTGGAATCCATCAAAATCAAACGATGTTTCAACAATTAAATTAAATTATTTTAATTTCGATTGTCTTGTTTTTTCTAAAATCAAAAATCGTTTTACCAACACGGAAAACTACGTTTTTCGTGACACAAATATTTACCGATTTGCCCAGTTGAACGATCTGGCTGATTTACAAGGATTAGACTTATCTTTGTGGTACACGATAAGATGGAAATCGTATAGGTAACGCGAATGAGTTTAATTCCTATACGATTTATAGGTTATCTCAACGAAGATTAATTTGTTAATGACAATATGAGGTTTCTTTATAAAAACTATACAATATAAATTAACGGTAAGGTATTTAAATGTTCGATAAAAAGTATTTTTAATTTTTAAAGTTTAAAAATTGACAAAATATGGAAAAATCATGAAAATTAGCAAATTATGTTGAGTTAAGAATTCGTATAAAATTTTCTTTTTAAATCTAAGATTTGAAAATGTAATAAAAGAATCCTTCTAAGATTATCTACCTTTATCAAAAAAAAAAATGTCTATAAGAAAGTCAAATTAAATTTTTATGAGCGTTTGAAATTCAAATTTTTTCAACATTGGATATTCACTCGATTTCTCGTGTAGCGATTTCCTTATTTTGTTTTAATTCAAAAACGAATAACTGTAGATTCATGAAAATTTCACTGAATATTTATATTAGCATTTCCCATACACCATACAATTTCGAAAATATTTTGACTGTTTTCGAGCTTTTTACGGACATTTTCAGTTTTTTTAGTTTTTTGTTTCTATAAATATTAATATAGTTTTATCTATTTTGCCAAAAAGTGGAAAAATATAATACAAGTCTCCTGATATATTGTTACAATATCAGTTGAAAAATATTTAAAATACATAGTCAAAATATTTTTTTATAAGCACTTAAAGATCAAATTTTGACAAAATTTGTCAAATTTAAAATTTTTTTTTTTGTAATTAAAATATTTTATTCAATCTGTTTCAATACATGAACAATAAGAATAATTGATGAAAGTAAAAAATAAAATAAAATAAAAATAAATGACAGATTATCCCGAATGTAGAGGCCTCCCAGCGGAGGTACTACGACGAAATTGAATAATTATTTTGTACCTAGTTCAAAATGTATAAAATGTTGAACTTTTATATCTAAGGATTGAAAATTTAAAACAAGATTCCACGTAAGTAGTTAATTCATTTACCAAAAATTCTATAAAAAATTGTAATAAATAACAATATAACAATACGATAATAAATTACGTATGTATTTTTTATACTCACCGCGAGAACTACCTCCATAACGTAATTTTAGTCCGCGAGATGATTATCAAACATGACAAGAACCGTGTATACGTTTGGAAACATGGTTTCTTATCATTTTAAATTAAATGCTGTCATCGATTGTTAATATTCGACAATCGTGCATTTTTGGCAATAGTAGTGTTGTTGTCTGATATTTCTTTGTTGTTTTCATTCGATTCCGTATTTCCGTGGATGATTTCGAAAACCGTCGAATGGAAACGGACTCTCACTCGATGTCGCAAGTACAACAGTATGCACAAGCTCCTCGGCCAACACAAACACAACACTCGCCAGCTCGTCAACCAAGTAAGTTCTATTGTCCACGATAACATTGGTCCAGTCCATACCATAGACCTTCAAAGAAATGGACAACGCATTCCACTCTGAACAATGCTACGCTATCATATTACATATTATTATATCTTATAGAAAAAGAACACAATTGAGTGAAGGAGCCTGCGTAAAGCCCTCAAAAGGAACTGGTATACATTTTACTAGCTTGTTTCTTTTCTCGCTCACCCTACATCTTAACCACGACTTCTCTCACTGTCCGTTAGTTTGTAGGTGGTCTATGGTCTAGTCCGTTCTGTCCGGGTGTTGATCATCGGCGCAAACGACTTCGGTGTTTGACTTGAATACTTGATAGAACTATAATGTACCTACGCCTGGCCTGGGGAGACATCAACCGTCCGCGTTGGTCCATTGGTCTGGATTCTTAATAATATAACCATAAACCTTGTCGCAGACAAACGGGATCTGTCAAAATCAATCGTTAGACGTATCGTCAAAATATTTACAAAATTATATAAAATAGGAATCTAACTTATAAACATTTAAATTTGAATTTCTAAATGCAAATGTATAACAATATTCAAAATACATTGGTATTTATCCCCATAAGTTATAATATTATTATTAAGAGTTATTCAATCGCAGGCCACACACCAACTGTGACAAAGGGAACGCAGCTCAGGTTGCAACGTTTTGTTGTGTTCATTTTCATTTTTCTGTCTCAAATTTACTACAACAAAACATATTTCAAAAGGAATGTTATTTCATGAATTTAACTGTAGTATACTCCGGAGTAGTTGTATTTCTTCATCATAATCTTTATTTTCTGAATTTAAGCCAGAGAAACAACCTGTACCGACGTCAGCTGATGCCTATTTGATGTGTCATCGACAGGGATGGGAAAGAGAAAGATTTGCCAAACGAGCCATTGAGTCACTGGTTAAAAAGTTAGGTAACTATTGAATGGACAATTAAAATTAAATTTTGCTATTACCTGATCTGCCTAACGTAAGTTGTATATTTTAATATATGAGATCTTATCCATAGGTATACTATTATGATAATATTCAATTCAATGTATTCCTACAACTGTGTTTATAAATAATGAATGTTTTACTAATTACTTAGGGAAAAAGAGAAGAATTAGATAGTCTTATTCTAGCTATAACTACAAATGGTTCGAATCCAAGTAAATGTGTTACAATACAAAGAACATTAAACGGGTGGTTACAGGTGATTGATTAAATTTGAAATTTTTAATATCTGAGAGTTTGATAATTGAAAAATTAAGTTAGCTTTTACATTTTTTGAATACCTAGTTAATTGTTATTAACAAAACCAAAGTGTTCTTGGTATTTGCAGATTCTAATTATTATTTTAGAAATTAAATATCTCAAACATTAATTAATTTCCTATTAGGCACATAAATGGCGATTATTATTTATAATATACATTTTGTTTTTTTATAGGTAGCTGGGCAGAAAGTTTTTCCGCATGTAATATATGCAAGAATCTGCAGATGGCCAGATTTACATAAAAATGAACTCAAGAACTTAAGTATTGCCAATACTTAAAATGTGATCCTGTGTGTGTTAATCCATATCATTATGAACGTGTTGTGCCATCAGGCGTAGGTAAATATTAATTATTTACTTATATTATTATGATTATTTATAAACTCTAATAACTATTTCTATTTAAGAGGTCTAACGCTACAAAGTGATATCGACTTACATTTTATAAATAACTTATTTTGTTGATTTTTCCGACACTAATTAAAATATCTGAATTGGTGGCACGCTCCTAGCGAACATCGATATATTTTGTGACGCATCTAACGTGTCCCAACTAATTATTTGACGCAGTGAATGTGTTAAGAGATGAGTATACAGCTGGCGGGGGAGTAAAGTCTTCCTCGCCAACTGGTTCTAGCCAAGTTGGCAGTTCCAATATGAACAGTGATGTATCTGGAAACAGCCCGTCTTTGACTGTACTTACCTCTTTTATATCACCAAACAAATCCAACCACTGGCGTTTCTCAACAATCAACCGTCTCTATAGCTGCCGGTAAGAATTAACTATGCCATTTTTATTTTTAGTCAATTAATATTGTATATCACATCTTCATTAAGTATAAGAAGTCATCAAAATGTTATCAAAAATAATTTTTCTTAAGGTTTTAATTCATATTTTCTAATTTGCTCACATTATTTATCCTGTTAAATGTTTTGTATTACTATTTAGTTTGTGTGTTATTGTAGTTAATGGTAAATACTAAATATTATTAAAACATAGTGAGAATGTATAACATAAACATTTTGAATATGCATATCTAGATTATATAGAAAATATATATATTAGTGGTGTCTTACATTCTTATGCCTAGTAAAGGGTGGATAAGTTGATTAATAATTTTTGCTTATCTTATAAATAAGTACTAATTTATAACCTTTTATGCTAAAGGACCACCAAACCTGCCATTACAAAATCCCAGTATGTTCTAAGGACAAAAGGAAGACAATATATGTAATTATACTATCCTTTAATAAAATTATTTGCAATAAACTGAATAATATTTTTATTTCACATACAGTACCTAGTCAAACAATGACACCTCATGATTATCAAGGACCTACTGCCCCGATGTCTGGTACAGCAACAGATAATCAACCAGTACAAAGCACACTTATACACATTCAATGCAACCACCGCATCCAGTATTATGTGAGTATATTTAATATCTACCCTTTTATAGTTATATTTATTTTATATTTAAATACCTCTTGAATGTAATTATATTGTTTTTCTAGGGGAAGTGGCTGAAATGGGATCGAGTGGTTTTCTATCATCTCAGCCAGCTCCTGAACATTGGTGTTTCATTGCTTACTTTGAATTAGATACTCAGGTTGGAGAAATGTTTAAGGTTTCATCTACTTGCCCTCATGTTACTGTTGATGGTTATGTTGATCCTTCTTTAAGTCACCGATTTTGTTTGGGTGCCCTTTGTAATGTTCAAAGGACAGAACAAATTGAAAGAGCTTGGTAAAAATAAGTAACAACATTAGTTATTAGTGTAAGCTTGATATTTACAACATTAGTGAATAATGATCTTTACAGATTTGCAGATTGGGAAAGGTATTCAACTAGATCTGATTTTAGAAGGAGATGTTTGGTTAAAATATCAGAGTGATCATTCAGTTTTTTTGCAGTCGTATTATTTAGATAGAGAAGCTGGCCAAGCACCAGAAGATGCAGTCCATAAAATGTATCCTCATGCATACATTGAAGTATGTGAAGTATATTTTGATAACTGAAGTATAATACATTTTTTTTTTTGTTTTTATTGATATGATACATGTTATAAATTATTTAGGTTTTTGATCTTAGACAGTGTTACAAGCAAATGTGTCAACAAGCTGAAACAGCTCAAAATGCAGCAGCAGTTGCAGGACACCTAGCAGGATATAATATTGTGCTTGGTATTGGTCCAGTTATAAACAGAAATCAAATATTTTATTAATATAAATATTTATTTATTTCACGTCAATTTATTAGAATTATTAAAACCTTAAACAAATTACAAATTACAAATAAAAAATCAATAGTTTTTATAATATAATTATAAATTTATTTTGTTATTATAGTTACAATTATTGAATTATTATTTTTTTTACAATTTACAATTTATTTATTAGTACACAAACTTTTTGGATGGCATTTAGAGGTACAAAGTAGATTATTTTTTAAATATATGCTCCGTTTTGTATTGCACTTTTGTTAACATGTGCATTTGTGAAACCCTTGACCATTACCTAGTGATTGGGATTCGGATGCTTTTTGAATTTTCAATGGTTTTAAAATATGAAATTTAGTGAAGTGATCTTGATACACCAACACAAATTTATATTCACCATCAGCTTGACTTTGATAATCAAAAAGATCTAATTGACATCTACTATTTGATTCAGAAAAATTCCTAGGATTTTTCATAGGATAACATTTTTTCACTTTTTATTTTTTTACACATGATTCACATCATCAAAAAAAATTTGACGTTTTATTGATTAATATTTTTTTATTTTTCTTTTTCTGTTCATACATCATTCTGTCTCTACCACCGTGTCCAATAGATAGGCGGATGTTTAGTAAAATATTGTGTAAATCTTCGTCATGGACGTAAAATATAATATCAGAATTATCTTTCATTAGACGTAAATGTTTTTCATTACCTTGCACTTCCATCACATCATTGTTGTACTTATACCAATAATATTGTGGAGATTCTTTTTTACCAGTTTTAATACTTTTCACTTCACTTATTAAAAAATCATATTTTTTTCTTTCAGCAAAAAAAAAACGTGCTGTTATTACGTTCCGTTGTATTTTTTATAGTTGTTTCAAATTTGGTTATCATTATAAAGCTCACTTATTAGTTATTACTACACAATACAACACTGAAAATGATCAAACTAACTACTCTCGGTACACTGTCACACTAATAAGTCTAGTCTATGCCAAATTGTGTTTTTCAATATTATCTTATCTTATTATTTTTATTAATAAAATAACAAATGCAACAAATCTTGAATGTCATCTAATCCAGTCCCTGTCATATCTACCTAACAATATAAATTGCATACATTAGTGAAAACCCAATCGATATTCTATATATTAACTAGTTAAACCGGGTAATTTATACATGAGCGAGCATATTTAGGAATTGTATAGAATAACTAGTTATTTAATAAAATAACGTATTACATACATTACCGCTAAGATTTACATACAATGTGATATCGAGCCATTGATTTTTTTTCTTAAATTTATTTTATTTTACTAAAAAGCAAATATAAACATATTTTATACTTACACCTAAATACTCAATCCTATGTTGCTGGTTAGATTTATAGAAACCAGTCATTTTTCTGTTTATACATTTTTTAACTTAGAAAATTTAACAAATTAACGTAAACCATTAGATACTGTTAACATTTTATGGATAGCCGGTTCTTACAAACTCCGGTTAATAGGACACTACACGTCCATTTGTTGTCTCTGTGTTACAAGTGCGTAACATAGCAAATTTATGATCAGCAAATAACGTTTGAATCCATTAGTTTAAAAATTAGAGTGAATCGACCTATTATGAAACTTTATGTTAAGAACATTATCTGTGTTTGTATGAGGGTTTTTTACAATAGTTCAATTTGTGAGCAAGTTATGTGTATATATTACAGCGTAAATTAAATATGCTCATAACTCACTTAAAAACAGAGTTATTGTAAAAAAAACCACATACAAACACAGATAATGTTCTTATTATCAAGTTTCTTAATAGGTCGATTCACTCTAATTTTTAACCAACGGAGTTAAACGTGATTTGATGAGCGTAAATTGGCCATGTTCCGCACTTGTAAGACTGACACAACAAAAATCTGTGTAACGTCCTCTTAAAGTGAACTGTAATTATTTTAAGATCAGATTTTAAACCGACCTACTTCTGTCAGTAACAATTCCGTTAACTGTGCATACTACTAGTTAATAGTAGTGTATAAGACTTAAGAGGACGTCACACCCGCATATGTGGTCTCCGTCTTACAAATGTACAACATTACAACATAGCAAAAACTGTTTTTTAGCGGGACAACTTTTCTCGCACCACATTTGTTGTAGAAGTGTAGGAACTAACTAAGTAAATAACTAACTAACTAAATTACTACTAAGAATAAATAAGAAATAAAATACTCAAAATAAAAAAGAAGAGACGTATGACAACACTTTTATAGTTTAATCATTTAATACTGTGTTCTCTACGCTTTTTGAAATTACCTCTTCATGTCATTTTATATTAATTGCCTTATTAATTATATCACCGCAGTATTAGAAACTTATATTATGTTATATATATTTTTCAATTGAAATATTTCAATGAAATTTAAAAAAATAGTTTTTTTTCTTTTGTACGTGCTCGGTTATAAATTATTAAAATAATATATTGAATACACACTTAGAAATAAACTAAAACATATTTTATTTTTGTTGATTTATTATTTCATAATTGTATATTGCTGAAAAATATTCCTGGAATTATTTTGTGAATAAAAACATTTTTTATATGAGTTTTAAAATATTGTTGTACTCGGACCGTCAGCGATCTATAAGATAATGGTTTAAAATAAAGTTAAAGACAATTCCAATGAAATAATAGTGTATTTTCAGTAATTATAAAGTTTACATAAGTCGCAATTGTGTGTGTACTAATCTAATACTTAGATTATATTTTGTGTATTGTAAAAGGACTCACAAGTATTAAGAGTGGTTTATGTATACCTAATATTGTGAATATAATATAATATAATTATAATATAGTATAATATAATATGCATTTGCAGAGCCATGGCTCTCAAGTCCCAACAATACGTTATGATGTAAAGTTGGTTTATGAGTTTGTAACTTAAGAGTAAAAAGGCAATGTTTTAATTTGTTATAAGTATTATATTATATTTGTTAAAGAACATAAATTATATGTAAATATGTTACATATGTTGTCTTTGTTTCATACAATAAACCAACTTTTAAAAATGTTCACTTATAAGTTGACGACTATAAACTTTTAGATGTAATAAATATTTTATTTTTATTTTTCATCGAAATGAAATATTTCAAGTAAATAAATTTTATGACATTTTAAAACCCTATAATCTATATATATATTTAATAGGGCAGGTAACAATATAAGTAGTATAACAGACCATAACTGTGCCTTTATGTTTGGGTGTTCCAGTGCCATGTCAGGCTGATTTGTGCTTTTATTTCATTGAATAGTCTAATCTAGTATGTATGTGCGATTTTGCTACTATTGTATTATATATTGTGTACCTGCCTAGTGCCTATATAAAAATGTTATAAAAAATAATTGAATTCACTCACTTGAGTGTGTAGATATATCAGTGGATATTTTGATACAGTAATAAGTAATTACAATATCAAATACATGAGGAAGCATAATTCATTGCCCATTTAGAACACTTGAACGAACGTTTCAATGTAAATAGTTGAGTTGGACAAACTTACCAACCCTCACATTAATATCTTCCATAGATTTTGCATCACATCTTAGAAGAAGAATATTAACTTTGATGATTATATATTTAAACGATATTGAGTAGATCATATTTTAAAATAAATGTAAGATAATTAAAATAATAAAGTTTAATGAAAAAAAGTGGGAAAGTGGACGTCGCTCTGCTGTACAGTAGGTACAAGTGGGTCACTGTATAATGGACGGTATTAAATTTGAATCTAGTTAATTTGACTTTCTTATAGACATTTTTTTTTTTTTTTGATAAAAGTAGGTAATCTTATAGGGAATCTTGTATTACATTTTAAAATCTGAGATTTAAAAAGAAAAATTTTTATGAATTTCTATCTTAAAATAATTTGCACATTTTCGTGATTTTTACTTGTTTTGTCAAAATATAAATGCTTATAAAAAAAAATTGTGACTGGATTTTTATTATTTTTCAAAATTTCATTGTAACAATATAATATGAAGAACCTTGTATTAAATTTTCAATCATTTTTGTCCAACAAATATAATTTTATTGACATTCGTAGAAAAAAAATCTAAATAACTTTCAATTCGAACAGGATACTGAAGTAGAAAATCGAAGCATTACGTCGACTACTTATCGTGTACATAGACACAAATAATAATAAAAGCAAAACATACATCATTGTAAAATCGATACGTTCAACGCTCCACTTAGAATCTAATGCATGTACATAAGTAAATTTATACAAGTATATTATAGCTGGTAAATACCTACAGTGCCGGATTTAGCGGGGGTGCAGGGGGTGCATAGCACCGGGGTCTCAAGACCAAGGTTATAGTAGGTGCCTAAGGTTAAAGTCCTAAATTTTCTAACTTTCTATAACTTTTTATTGTAAAATTTTATTATTTTAAGATGTTACTGACAACTGACAAGTGACAACCATTAATTTTGGACGGTTTGAATTTTAGATAATACTATTTGTCATGGTTAGGTATTGTTTGTTTTACATATTTATTTGTATAGGTGCACATTAATTATAGTATATAGTACTTTGCTTCGTAAACTATTTTCATATAATCGTACTATTTAATTAATCTCAGAGGCTCAAGAACTCGGGCTAGTGCAGTATCTTGCATTCTTGCTGGACAAACCAATAATATAACTGTGGTTATATTTATTTATTGTTTAATATAAATGGATTATGATTTACGGACATGCCTTCGCCTTGATGCAGTGTTATTGGTTTCGGATATGTTATTTTGTACTTTTGTCAGTTTTATTTTTGCGTACCTACTCTATTGTATTAATTTTTCATTTGATTTTTAAAAATATAAATTAGGTACCTACCTACATTAGGTATCTTTAATTGACTTTTGAAAAAAAAAACATGTCTAACAGACAATTTGAAAGTGTTGCATCTAAAAGACGGAGAAAAATGTTCAAAACAGTGAATTAAAAAAATATAAAGGATTGATGAATAATTTTGTATTCAATTCAGGTACCTAACTGAGGTACCTGATTCAAATTTGGGTCTTTTCATTTTAGGACAATATAGAGAATGTACAGCCAATATCATATTAATGATATTTATTCTTAATTTATATTACCTATAATATATACTAGCATAGAAGCATACATTAATGATTAATATATCATAATATCTAAGCGTGGTATAATAGATATGAGAACAGTGAGTGAATGTATAATTTCATAATTTACCTTTTAAATTATGGAATTTAAATTTTGTGTTTTTTAGTTTGTTTAATATATCAATACGACAAAACGTATCAAACAAATAGATAAGTGTAAAGTCAAGAAAATTTTTTTTAAGGGGCCTCCATTGGTAGTTGCACATAATATTTCGAACATACGACTTTTCGAACATATAATCTTTCGAACAGACAATTTTTCGTACACTTAACGTTCGGACATACAGCATTCGAACACATGACTTTCGAACGCATGACCCCTTACCAATTTTTTTTATCAGCTCACTTTTACTGGATGGCATTATATCATAAACAGTGTGACACCAGTGGAGTTACACAACATACGTTCGTTCTGGACTCCGTCGCAGAGAGGTTAGGTATACAAGTTTTAGGTGACGCTAAAGAATGAACCCAGATTTCGTGTGACGCGTTGCGTCGAGATCGTTTATTGTTTGATACGAAATATAAGTACGTGGTCGTCCACAGTACGACAATAGTAGGTACAAATATCGGTCGAGCGCGTGGTCGTTTCGGGCCGACGGTTTTGGTGTGCTCGATGCACGCGCGGTCGAGTGAGCGTCGATACGTAGGCGAGCCGGACATGAGTTCGGCGGTCGTGTACGGGGACCCTATGGGTCGTGTAAGTGTAACACGGCTCGTCGGTTGTCGAAACCGACAGGTAGAGAGCGGAATACTCGGTACGTGTGGCTCGGTCGAGGGCGGTGAGCAAAGAGAACGACGTCGGACGGCCGCGTCGTGAGCGTCGGGGGCGATAGAGATGGCGTCGCCAATCGGAGACGCGAGATCGATTTTGCGTAGGAACATAAATATATAAAAATCACAGAAGTTGTATACAATAATTACGAATCTAAAATAAATCACATATGACAATAATATAAATATGGTTGGTACCGCGGAGCGGGTGGTAACTCGGTCGGCGAGAGCAAAGTGGTGATAAGACCGCGTATAACCACAACAGCATTCTTCACAAATCCCCCCCAAAAAAAAATCCAAAGGTGTCATGTCTGGACTACATGCTGGCCATTGAATTTTCTGGACTCCGGGTACCCATCCAGTTATCTTAAAAATACAATTTAAATTAAATGTAATACTTATTTGTATAAATTGTATCCATAACATATTGGGTTAATGTAAATAAATACCTATATGAATATAAATGAGAAGAAAATTGTGTAACTTTAAATATTATATGTATAATATTAAAATTTTTATAAGTAGCAATCAAACAAAATATGATGATAATGATAATTACCTCCGTAAATGTTGTTTAAATAGTCCTGAACCTGCCGGCAGTTATGGGCCGAATCACCATCTTGTAAGCTTATGTAAGAGTAGGATCTCTAGGTGGGGCTAATCGTTTGAAAACCGAACTTTTTTTTTTCTAACTGAAGGTATACCTTGATCCTTAATTAACTTACTGTTACCTATTTTTTCAGTTAAATTGGTTATAATAAACAAAATATTGGTTGTATTTGAAAATGTATACCTATTTTTTAAATTGTCAAATAAAAATCAATAGGTATGGTACACTTTAAAGTTTACAATACAGTATACACACATATAAATACTAAACAAATAAACACCAATATCTTATAAAAATAAATTATTGAGTTTGATGTCCTATAATACTGTCCAGTACAAAATTTGAACACAATAATTTTTAAATTGATTTTGTGGTTTAAACGATATTTCAATATGTACAAATATACTTAATAGCTTTAAAACATAGTAAGCGACTAATAAAAAATTACATAGTGAATGATACAATTTTTTTTAATCACACAATATAATACAGGTGTATGCTGACATTAATTTCAGATGGTTTATGATAAATTGACTAGGCTCATTACCCATTTGTAAAATCTCTTCAGAGGCGCATACAAAGCTACGGATACCTAAGAAATTGTTTTATATACCTTATTATTTATTTAAATTAAAGCATATTCAGCACACCCCTATGATACAACTGACAAAAGTTTAAAAATGTAACTAATTCTATATAAAATGGGGTGATTAGAGCCAGATTTAAAATGTTATTTTCACAATTTAACAATGTTTTACTGACTATATTTTTTCAATACAATATTAATTTAAAATTTTACTATAACTTGTAGGTCTTGTTTTTATGATTTACCTTCTAATTCTAATAGGTTATTATTTTTTTTTTTCAATTACCATTCAAAACTATTTCACATTAGTTTTGAATTAATTGTAGTAAGTTAATAAACATAATTTTAAATATACATAATATATGGTTCCTAACCTATAAGTAGGTACACTTCTAGCATATTGTAATTTTAAATGCATACTAATTGTACAACATTTTTTCAATTACCTATATTATTTAATTAAAAAAAACTTAATTCAAAATTGGAAATTCCACATATTACCTCATTTTATATTTATAATATTGTGAACCACTTAAATAATTTAAAATTATTTAATAGTGAAAGACTATGAAGAGTTAAATATTTCAAATTTAAATTTATATAATATTATGTTTTTTTAACAATACAATAATTATGAATATTGTTACAAACAATAAGGTAATATGTAAAAAACAACTTAGCTATTTCAATATGTTGTGACTAAAATCACCCCATTTTATATTTCTATTATTATGAACCACTATAAAAGGCATTTGTATAGCAGGTGATCTACCAATTTACTAGAAGTGATCCACTACAAGATTTAGGTACCTATAATAATATGTACATTGTACATACCTATTAGGTTTAAAATATTTTTCACCATTAATTATTAAGATATTTTTTTATTTAGGATTATCTTATAATATCCATATTTTGTTGTTATTATAAACCCACATCCTTCAATCTATAAAATTTTATAAATAAAAATATCAAACCATAAATTTACCAAAGTAAAAATGTTATGTGTTGTAGGTACAATTTATAGATAAAGAAGGGAGACTACAATTCTTACAAATTATCATATTGTTGTGTACCACAATCGTTGAATGGATGATTTGTTAATTTTCTTTGAACTTAGGTGTTGATAACACCTGTTGGTTGCCATTTCCATACATATTTTACTTGTTTTTGAATTTTGCGGTATTTTACATCAAAAATGTTGCTTTTAACTAGTGAAGGGATGAAAACTCTTGTTCTAAGCTCAGTTTATGTTATTTTGATTTTATAATAGATGTAACGTCTTGCAATCTTATATGATACCCCTAGGGCCTAGAACATGACCCATGAAGGAGAGCTAAGTCTTTAATCAATAGCCAATCAAGGAATGATGAGCTTCATTTTTAGATTTGTTTTATCTATTATAGCAGTTATTAAATCTTGTTATTATATTATTCAATTTATTACTTAGGTACCTAGGTATTACACTTATTCTCGTATAATAAAATATAATATTATACAGGATATCTTTATTATTGTTATACCGTCAAATACCAATAAAAATAAATAATTAATGTATCTATAATGAGCATACGTCATGTTGATAGCGAGAACAAAAAAAAATAATTAAGAATAATTAAGAATTTAAAATAAATATAATATTTTGCACATTGATAGCTTTTTATTTAATTCTGATATTTTGTCAGTTATAATTGGACTAATTTCAGCTTGGTCATCAGCATCATCTAATAAATCTTCCGAATCCTCGGTAAATTGACTTTTGTGGTACAGTAAACTGATTTCTTCTCTCTTCACAAAATAATTTGACACCATGCATAATTTGTTTATAAAAATTAATTATTTAAAACTCACAATTCCATTAATACAGTCTTGAGTTATTTTTTTTGGTTCCAAGTAAAGTAAACCATAATACTGCGCCAGTTGAAGTGCAAGTTTGGTCTTACCAGAAGCCGGGGGACCGATTACAATTAATTTAAGACTCTATGCAAAAAAATTACACTTTTATCTCTAATCAGTATACTACAAAATATACATTCAAAATAATTATTTAAAAAAAATGTTCACTTTAATGTTATGAACTCTTTTGTACGTTTCAACTAAATATTTCATTGAATTCAGTATTGATGGTTTATTGTTGTACCATTCGAAATTAGGCCACAATTGGTTAATGCTCGAATTGACTTTAATATCGGCTGACATAATTTGTTTATGTATGCCCTACGATCGTTTCGAAATTTAACTTTTACAGAAGTGCTTAATTAGGTAGAATCTGAATTTTTAGCTCACCTTGAGTTCATATTTATTCGTGAATGTATTTAATGACACAACCATTGGAGCTACATCGCACGACTTAGCGAGAGCCTATGCAAATATCATTTTAATACGAATACATTAGATTATTTATACTAGGTACACATGAGTGGCTGAGTTATAATTTTATACTTACAGTGATGATTTGTTTTAATGTATTTATTGGACTTTCAACAGCAAAAATATAATGATACCTACTCCAATGCTTGATCATCGGATATTACTTTATGTATCACCCTAACACAATTAATAAATAAACGCACAGTACTTAGTTATTTTATAAATCCATAAATAGGTATCTGAACCTGGCCAAGTCTTCAACGTGTATTACAGGTAAATGATTTTGGCTATTTGGTATTGGAAATAGGTATATCGGTAGTTTTACAAGCTAAGTCAAACGCGAATTGTAACAAATCTTGTTCAAACCCATATGTAAGTCCAGCCCAAACGATTATTGTTTTCACAATTTCTTTTAACTAAAAACAAATAATAAATAAATAATATGTTGATACAATCATTGATTATAAATACTATAGTATTTATGATCAATGGCACAATGAAATAATGAGATGCGAAATGCAAATATATTTACTCCCTGGGTTTCATTCACAGCTAATACTTCAAGTTCAAACTCATAATGTTCCATATATTTCGGATTTGGAACTCTATTATTCACATCAAGCTCACTCATATAATGCTTTTTATATAAACAGTAGTTATATTTTAAATATTATTATTATTTATTTAATTTGTTATACATGTATAAATCACTTACTTTTTTATTGACACCAGCCCAAGTCATCACAGTTGATATTACCACTATCAATTTTACGTTTTTTGAAACATTATAAGTACCTTTAAGGTTGAAAATTTCGCTCTTTAATGACCTGAATATTTCTTTTCCTTTAGCTAATGCCGCAATATCACTAGATATGTCGATAACTATGATACCGCAGGTTTTCAGTAACCCCAATAGATCTGAACTGTTTACTGTCCTCACAACTTCATTCTAATTTCAATACAAATGTCTATTAAATTTCAAATTGTATTCTCAAAACCTTAATAAAATAGGTTACGCTATAGAGTATAGAGTAGGTAGGTATTGAGATACTCTATGGACCTGCAGGGGTTGCCAACCAGTCGATCGCGATCAATCTTTAGACGAATATTGGTCGATCGTATCAAAAATTAACTATACCTGCAATATTGGTTGATCACGTGCATAATCTTAAACTAACTTTTACGCTTAATATCCAAAATAAATTATTTCTTATCGAAGAAAAACATACAATTTTCAGATGAAGAAATAATAAAAGACGAATTTAATAAAATTGTACAATTTATTATTATGTTGCATAATATAATAATATAAATAATATACCTAATTAAATATAGTGGTCGCTCATAAGATACTTAAATGTTTGTAGTGTTGTACTTAGCTCACTTGCAGGGTGAGCTTAGGAATTTTAAATGGAGGAGAGGGGGGTTTAAAAAAAATAACAAATTGCCTGATCTAAAATTAAGAAGTACAATAATTATAATTATATATGTAAGTACATATATTATATTATGTTTGTCAAGTATCCATGGGGGTGGGTGGTTTTGAACCCTCTAGCCCTCCAACTCAATTGAACACACCCCTGTTCACTTCTTGGAAAAGGATGGTGACCCCTTGTATAGACCATATTCTAATATTACCCACTTTCAATTTTAATGATTCATCATCTACTGCTTCGATGTATATTTCATATGGAACTTCTGTTTGTATATTATCTTCATTGCTCAATTTATCTAATTTTTCAAACGATACGTCATCTTCTAAAGTTTTATTGAACACTCTATAGGTAGTTATATATTATTGCTTCTAACCGTTTTTTCGGCTCTATATTCAATAATCTAAAACCATATATTTTGTTATTTAAATTTAAAGTGCCAATGTAATAGAAATAATAATAATATGTAAATTATAAAATAATATGTAAATATATGGTTACCTATATTATAATATATTAAAACTTACCTAAAAAATTCTATGGCTGTTAACCTATCAATAATATCATCAACAACAAATCTTCAATTTTTCCCACATTTAGTTCATTTATAATTTCAGACTGTTGAGGCCCTGTGACATTTGATTGCCATTTTTGTGATATTAGTTGATAATTTTCTTTATTCGAATTGGATAAAAGGTCATGTGCTTTAGACATCTGATTATTTTTAACCAACTTTGACGATATAAACTTAAGGTTTAATATAATACAATTATTATATTTCATTACAATCATTCTATATACATATGAATCTATAAAATTAAACCAAATAACTAGTCCTGCCGGAATTTGTTGACATAAGAGAAAAACTGTGCACTTTAAAAAAGGTAGGTATTACAAAATTGAAAGCAACTATTTGTAATATTAAACTAATCCAAATATTTAATATTGGAGAAAAGTAGGTACTATCTGGGAAGCCGGGAGGTGATGAATTTTCTCATGAAACAAGTATGATTTTTACTCATTTAAATTTTTGTCAAGTATACGTATGCTATTTTTAGTCTGATGGGGAAGAAGTATTATAGACAATTTATAGTATAATATAATATAAAAAAAGTGAGTGGTGTCATGGGACACCCTGCAGAAACGAAGTTTCTTTTCCAACAAATATTATAGATTACAAATACATTTTAGTGGAACCATCAAAAAAAAGTAAATATCAATAAGTAAATGTATTTAAGTATTTAATGAATTTAAGTAAATGTGAAAAATGAATAAAAATAAAAATTATTATTATTACTATTATATTAATCATATTCAATAATCGAAATTACAGGCCTGTGATAACTGAAATATGATATGTATGTTTGTGGTGTAATTTTTTTTCCAAGTATCTTGAAAATACTGCATCAATAGTGGTTTCATCTTACAAATTTACAATTTATAAGTTATAATAATTATATTTACATAATATGCAGATCTAATATAGGCTGTTTCAGATTCTCGCGTTATACCGTTTTCTATTAGGTAGGTACCTACCTAATACCTAGTCTTTACCAAACGCGACGCACAAAAGAAATTTAATAATTACTAAAAGTCGGCAGTGATATATGCAACAATCTGAACAATCAGATTATTCTAAGAAAACAATTTCATGAAATAAAAATGTTCAAGCGTCATGCAAGGAGGTTATAATATGTACCTATATAAGATGTAACCAAAAGTTTATGCTTTATGTAAGGACCGTGGTATATTTATAGATTTCAGTGTCTGATATGCATAGGGATTTCCACTTGGACGCCTATAAAATTCCGGAAATATAACGGCAGGAGAGTAATAATTGAGGAACTCAAATTCCGGACTATAAAATTAATAGAAATTAATATGTTAAGAATACAAACCGAATTGAAATCTAAGTTTACAGAATGTAATCTTGAGGAAAAAAAGTAAGACGGAACGAAAATTAATTGGAATTAAATATTGATGAACGTAAAACGCCCGGAAACCAAAATTCAGGGATGCCAATAAAATCCCGGAAAAAAATTCACCGGAATTATGAAATCACAGAACGTAATGTAACCGTATTATTGAATTGAAAGAATTAAAAATATATTGAAAACAAAATTCCAGACCGTAAAATACACGGAATTAATATATATTGACTGTAATTTGTTTGGAACTTAAAACTAATGAACAAAATAAAAAAGGAAAATTAAATTGATGAATTCAAATTCCGGACTGTAAAATTACCTGTGCATAGTTTTTCTATTATACAAAACGAATGAGAAATTTTAGTTTACGGAACGTTATAACGAAAGAAAGTAATAAGGTGGAACGTAAATTTATCGGAATTAAAAAACACTGACCGTAAAACGTCCGGAATGTAAACTTCCAGAAAAAATATAGCTATATAGGATGATAGTAAACTTTATGATCAGATTATAGTATAGTATATTTTAGTTTCTGACCGGTGGGAGGGGGTGGGTCTAACCAGGTTTCTGTCCGAAAATTGGATCTATATAGTTTGTCGTTTTACTTTTGTAGGGTAAAAAGTAGAAATTCAAATTTCCCTGTACTTTTTAAAGTAATCACAGTTTTTTTTTGTAATTAAAAAATGAATAGCCGTTATAAACTTTTAGTTTACGTCCAATATTTTGGGTTTCTTATTTATAGACATATATAAAAATTTTTTTTTTTAAATATTTAATATTGTTTTATAATTATATTATAATATATAGATTAATTAATTTAATTAAACATTATAAATTATAATATAATATACTATCAGTATAGTATAGTTTATTGTTACCTAATCAAAAAGTTTGAAATATAATATTATAATATTTCTCATAAGTTGTAGGTACGACAGCCAGGGGTGGATAGGTAGTATTTTTGTTACAGGGAAATATTTTAAGGGCCCCCAAACTAAAAAAAAAATTCCTCGCTTCGCTCGCATTACCTACATATCTTATACAACAACTTTACTTACAATTTTACTTACAAGGTGACTTGTATGTAACTTACCAGGTTACTACTTACTACTTACAAGTTTAAAAATGAAAACAAGTTGGGGTGGGGGGGGGCTGTAGAAATGTTTCTACAGCCCCCTCCTCATCTGGATTTTAAGTTTTAAGGACTTTTACTGTCTCACAATTTAGCGTGCAATTGACGTGAATTTTCGAGACCTATTTCGAAATCGTAAACCCAAAACCCCGAATACCGTGGGCCTTGCCCCTTTATTGCCATTTCCCCAGCCCCCCCAAACGACACGCAAATTCACGCCAATCGCACGCTAAATATTAGAGTTAAAAAAAAAATCGAAAACGAGTTTTTTTGCCGTTAGGGAGGGGCTGGGGAAATGGCAATAAAGGGGCAAGGCCCACGGTATTCGGGGTTTTGGGTTTACGATTTCGAAATAGGTCACGCAAATTCACGATAATTACACCCTAAATATTTAGCCAAAAAAAATTTTGAAATTCGAAATGGGAGGGGGGCTGGAGAAACGTACGTCAATATTATTTCCGACAAATTCGTGTTTCGTATCAGTAGTAACGTGCGGTGATCGCGGTCCGCGGTCGGTCGGATATTTCGGTATTCAACAATTTAAAATACAATAGATTAGGATTAGATATAGATATAGATATAGATATTAGATATAGATTATATAATATTATGTTAAAACCTGTAAGCAGTCTAAGCAAATTGTTGACTTGTGGTACACCGTGTTATTATCATATTGTTAAACATAACAGTAATAATAATTTGTAGTTTTAATTTTAAATTTAAATTATTTCTAATTGGTGAATATTTTATTCTGTAAAAAAAATGTTGGGACCCAAGTGGGCCCCGAGGGCCCCCGAAATAAACATACAAGTAGGCCTACAGGGAAAATACCTTTTTCCCTATGGGCCCATCCACCCCTGACGACAGCCATTAAAAAGTATCGAATATGGGTAGGTACATATTATCTAAAAATGTAGTCACAATATTTTAGTTATTAATGTTTGCTAAGATACCTATGAAAGCTATGTCTTGAAAATATAATTCATTCTTCATAAAATCATAAGCTTTAATATGCCTATTTATATAATTATATGGGTGCTTACCGAAAACAAAAAATCTCAAAGATACATCGGTATAATATGCACAATTGTTGTTTTCATAAGCATTTCAAATTTAAATGTGAATGAAAGTAATAATTGATATAAAGTAGTTTATAAATTATAATTAATATAATTGCTTAACGACAGTTTAACCACAGACCACGATACCTGTGAATATTTACCCGCATCTCGTACAATGTGGAGCTGTT